AAGAACTAAAGATTATTTTCCCTGCTATTCCACACTGTGAGCTTAGCAGCACGGTGAGGAGGAGATGGGACATGTGATGTGATGTGATGGGATGGGATGTTGGGATAGAAAGATATGCCACACATCTTCAGTATGACAAATCAATGTGCCCAAATCCCCACACCCTACTTGTGACTTTCACTGTGTCCCAGAAAAAGAGTTTATTTGAGCATAAATTGATGCCAATCAGGCAGTGCCAAACCAAAAGTGGTTAGGAGCCCTTCGTCAACAAGAACTAGGGGCAAGGTTTTTATAGAGAAGATATGAAAGCAAAGCAAATAAATAGATTGGTTATAGTTTCAGCAGCTGTCTTATTCGGGAAAGCCTCATTGGCTATTTCTGAGGCTCATCCTTAAGTTTCTTTATCAGAGTTGAGTGCTCTGCCTCTGCCTTGGGTTTTGGCTGACTTACATAAGCTGCCAAGGCATCTGAGCCACCCAGTCTGTGGCCCCCGTGTTTAAAGACTAACCGTGCTTCTGTCCTCTATCCAATCTAGAGTAATCTTTTCTTTTCCCTCATTTAATGGATTCACTGCAACAGAACTATTTTAAGTGTCTAAAGTATTTTATAATTTGTCAGAATTTGAAAGATCATGGAAATTAAAATTCGCCACATTCAATATTGAAGCTGGGTGGCTTTAGTTGAGTTTACCATCCAGTTGGATGTTTTTATCTTAGTCTCCACCAGTTATAGTATCTGTAGCATATTGGAGATATTTTAGTAGATATGTTATATGAAATACTTAATACAAAATTTTTAAATCATGGTAATCCTGCTCTTTCCATAAGAAAACCACAGTTCAGGAAGATGAAATCACTTGCCCAGCTTTGCACAGCCAGTCAGTAGCAAACTAGGAATCAAACTGAGAGTGCGCCCAGCCCAAACCATGCATCCCCCCCCCCCTTTCCTTATGCTCCTTCCTATAACCAATGTCAACGCCAGTCCTCAGGCCTTCACTCTTCCAAAATCACAATCTCTATCATGATTCACTTCAACTTCACTGTTTTGTTTTTTAAATGAATGTTTTGTTCTTCTTTTTTGTTTTTTTCTCATGGAAAAACTTCTCTCCTGCCTACTCAGGGATTTATAATTCAGCTCGCAGAACCAAAGCACATTTCCTTCTTAGGCAAATTAACTACAAGCTTTGATCGAGAGCACCTAAACATTTTTCTTCTCAAATGTGTTTAGCAGGAGTGTGCTCTATGGTTGGAATATCAGATAAAAAAAAATAGGTTGGGAGTTTTGTTTCTCAGGGAAAAACTTCTCTCCTGCCTACTCAGGGATTTATAATTCAGCTTGCAGAACCAAAGCACATTTCCTTTTTAGGCAAATTAACTACAAGCTTTGATCGAGAGCACCTAAACATTTTTCTTCTCAAATGTGTTTAGCAGGAGTGTGCTCTATGGTTGGAATATCAGATAAAAAAAAATAGGTTGGGAGTTTTGAATCACATATCCACTAAAATCACTAAAAAGATGGAGAAATTAGCTCCTTAGCACTTTTCTAGGTACTCTGCCTGTTTGAGTGTATTTCTTCACTTAACATGTATTTTGAGCTATGTGAACATGTTTTAATTGACAATGTCAGTGTCTAGCTGAACTGGATTTCTGCAAAGTGGAGAAGCGCTGGGCTACATGATCCTGCACTAGGTTCTCTCAGACGCCACTCTCCCTGGGGACCATACAAAGTCCTGCTCACAGGGTTCTTTTAACAATATATAATTTTTTATTGATTTCAGAGAGAGAGGGAGAGAGAGATAGAAACATCAATGAGACAGAATCATTGATTGGCTGTCTCCTGCATGCCCCCCTACTGGGGATTGAGCCAGCAACATGGGCGTGGGCATGTGCCCTGACCTGAAATTGAATCTTGACCTCTTGGTTCATGGGTCGATGCTCAACCACTGAGCTATACCAGCTGAGCTCATGTACCTCTGTAAAGAAAATCTGACCTTGACCTTACATGGTAAGGGAAGGACATAGAGGAAAGAAAATGTCCCTGGGTATACTCAATATTTGTAAATTTCTGGATTTCCTCCATATCATATATTGTTGTAGAATATAGAATTCAGTCTGATTTAAGAGCTTAAACTTTATTTGATGGAACAAATTTATTCTGTATAGCCTAGGAAGCAGAATGAAGGCTAGAGGATAAAATGTAGGCTGTAAGAAAGACTTTTAAATTTGAGGCAACTAAGTGTAATAAAAACCACTGGAGCTGTTATGGATTGTGCACCTACTATGTGTCAAGCATTTAATTAAATAATGCATAGAAATCAATGCCATGAATGGATCAGAGAAAGGCATGAATGCCTATTATTTAAGTAAACTTCAGACCTATGAGGTATGTTAGATTGAGGAATGTTGCCTTTTTTTTTTAAATATATTTCATTGATTTTTTACAGAGAGGAAGGGAGAGGGATAGAGAGTTAGAAACATCGATGAGAGAGAAACATCGATCCGCTGCCTCCTGCACACCTCCTACTGGGGATGTGCCCGCAACCAAGGTACATGTCCTTGACCAGAATCAAACCCGGGACCTTTTGGTCCTCAGGCCGACGCTCTATCCACTGAGCCAAACCGGTTAGGGCGAATGTTGCCTTTTTTAATTACTAGATTTGTATGAGCAGAGGAATTTGGAAAGAATGTTAACTATATCATATTTATGGTGCAGAAATCTTATGGGCATATCTTCAGTCTCAAAAGAAGGGCCTTATGGTATTGAAGGACAGGATGACATTCAAGGCCTCTGAGGAGCAGAAATGACCCATCCCCTTAGCCTAGCTCAGCACCCAGGCCTGAGAGCTGAAGGGAAGGAATGCTTCCAGCTCTAGAACGTGTTTCCTCCTGGCAGCAGCAGCAGCTCGTCTAGAGAAGGACATGGTCACTGGGAGACTAAAAATAACCACAATCCTTACATCCAAAGCGAAAGTTTGCATGGGACCCAAACAAAGGGGCAGAACGAAGGGGATGTTCCCTCCAGAGGAGCAGAATTACAGCATCCAGGGCTAGCGCACATGGGTTCCGACAAGTCAGAGTGGGAGCAAGCAGCTCACAGACAGAGTTCAGAACTCAAGTTGAGCAATGATGACCCAGAGCTGGGAGCTGTGGCCAGTGCAGAGCAAGGTGGCCCTTAACGCAACATGGCCAGTGTCCTCATAAGAAGAGGGGAGAGGATACAACGACAGACAGGAAAAGCGCCGATAGGACCGGAGCAGGGACTGGAGGGACAGCCTCAAGCCCAGGAGAGCCTAGGACTGCTGGCCCCATCAGAAGGTAGGAATCAGCCAGGAAGGACTCTGTCCAGAGTCTCAGAGGAGTCACGGCCCTGCTGATGCCTACATGTTGGACTGCTGGCTTCCAGAACTGTGAGCCAGTGAATTTCTATTGTTTGAAGCCACCCAGTTTGCGGTCATTTCTTACAGCAGCCCCCGAAAACCAACAGGACAGCTAATGCTGGGGAATGAAGTGCCTCTTTCCCAGTCTTCGGAGTCTAAGCTATTCTTATCTCTTGACGGCGAGAGCCTGGTTTTGAAGTCTCTGGGGACACGTGCTAGTAAAACAAAGCAGTGTGTTCCCAGAACACTGATGAAATCTCTTGACTCTTCCAGCCTGCCCTCTCCCCCAGGGCCCCCCACGAATCTCCTCTGGAGATCACCTGTCTATCCTGCTGCCTTTACTGTGAAGGGGGTTCCAAGACACAGACACCCCTGCTGTAATGTCCCTGCGAGGGGGCAGCAGACTACATACCAAATTGCATCCAAACCAGCCATTTCTGGCACAGGAAAGCTTTCCCTCTTCTGGGAGGAAAGAGAGAGCTATGCCATTTTCAGAGCAGGGCCTCTGAGTATTTGCTGCCAGTGGAAAGGGCCACTCAAGGGAAGCAGCCTTTTGAGGGTGACATGTTTGTGCAGCCTGACAGGACCTGAACATTTGTAAATCGGGGACTGAAGCGAATACAAATGACAGGAAGAAAGGCAAGGCCAAACTCCCACTTCCGTCAGCTCAGAATAAATGTCAGTCCTTCTGAAGGCACATTTAAAGCCCGAATCCCGGGATGAATCAGACCAAGTGTTCCTATTTAGATAATAGCAAAATCAGGCTTCAGAGAATTGTTAGTCAGCAAACCGCATTTTGGGGAAGGCCATGCTCCCAGAAAGGAAATGAAGAGTTGGGATTCCAGATTTAGACCTGCAAGAGACCAGAACAGCAAGGTGCAGAGAAGAAAGATCCGAGCTGCGCTCTTTTTGCTGGAATAGAAGGGAAGCTGGAGTAAGCAGCATGAAAAGCAAGGTCCTGTCAGCTCCTTCCAACGACAAGATCAACACCAAAGCACTGTCTTACAGTGGCTTCAGGCGGCTCACCCCACCGAATGACCTTCCTGTTTCTCTTGGCTGCAGCCCCTCCTTCAGCCTCTCCTTCTACCCTGGCTCACCCCCAAGACAGTCAATTTCACTCTCCACATCTCAGAGGCTGCAGCCCATGCAGTCTTGACTACTGTCCGGGTCCCTGGAAGCAGAGGTAGCTCTCCACTGAGCCTGGGGAAGGCGGGGGCTGTAATTTCCCTTCCTGAAGCTTCTCCCATCCGAGGATGGATGAAAACGGGCTTTGGAGGAAGAGACACTGCTGTACATGCTGTCCTTGTCTGTCAACAGGTGCGGGATGACTGTAAGTGATGGCAAGACATGTTCCATTGTATTTCTCTAACAGTCCACAGTTCTCCCAGCCCTCTTAGAATAATTCCAGTAATGAATGATAGATGTAGCTAGCAGATAGGAGCACTGATGTGCAATTTTTAAATGACTTTATTTTTGTTTCTGGTCCTGAAACAGATTTATTTGAATCTGCCCTCATTTCATTTGGTGGTTTATAGGCACACCTCAGAGATATTGCAGGTTTGGCTCCAGACCACCACAACAAAGTGAATATAATAAAATGAGTCACACAAATTGTGTGGTTTCCCAGTTCCTATAAAAGTTATGTTTGCATTATACTGTAGTCTACTAAGTATGCAATAGCATTATATCTAAAAAAATGTGTATATCTTAATTAGAAAATGTTGTATTGCTAAAAAAATAATAATAATAATGCTAACCATCATCTGAGCCCTCGGCAAGTTGTAACATGTGTTTGGTGGAGAGTCCTGGCCTCCAGGTTGGTGGCTGCTGATTGATCAGGTTGGCCGTCGCTGAAGGTCAGGTACTGTGATGCTTTCTTGAAATGAGACTACAATAAAGTTTGTCACATTGATTGAGTCTTTCTTTCACAATTTCTCTGTGGCATGAGATGCTGTTTGATACCATAGTAAAACTTATTTCAAAACTGGAGTCGGTTCTCTCACAACCTGTTGCTGCTGCATCAACTGATTTCACACAATACTCTAAATCAGTGGTTCTCAACCTTCCTAACGCCGCGACCCTTTAATGCAGTTCCTCATGTTGTGGTGACCCCCAATTTCATTGTTACAAATTGAACATAATTAAAGCATAGTGACTAATCACAAAAACAATATGTAATTATATATGTGTTTTCTGATGGTCTTAGGCGACCCCTGTGAAAGGGTCGTTCGACCCCCAAAAGGGGTCGCGACCCACAGGTTGAGAACCGCTGCTCTAAATCCTTTGCTCTCATTTCAACAACTCTCTAATGTCTTCACCAGAAATGAATTCCATCTCAAGGAACCACTTCCTTTGCTCATCCATTAGAAGCAACTCCTCACCCTTTAAAGTCCTATTATAAGATGGCAGCAATGCAGTCCTATCTCTCAGCTCCATTTCTCATTCTAGTTCTCTTTGCTATTTCCACCACATCTGCAGTTACTTCCTCCACTGAAGTCTTGAAAACCTCCAAGTCATCCATGAGAGTTGGAATCAACTTCCTCCAAACTCCTATTAATGTTGATTGATATTTTGACCTCTTCCCATGAATCACAAATGCTGTTAGTGGCATCTTTAATGAATCCTCTCTGGGGACTTTCGATTTACTTTGCCCAGATCCATCAGAGATATCACTGCCTATGGCAGCCTTGTGAAATGTGTATCTCAAATAATAAGAATTAAAAGTCAAAATTATTCCTTGACCAATGGGCTGTAGAATGAATATTGTGTTGGCAGGCATGATAATAATGTTAATCTTGTTGTACATCTCCATTGAGGCTCTTGGGTGACCAGGTGCATTGTCAATAAGCAGTAATATTTTTTAAAGGAATCTGTTTTTTTTTCTGAGCAGTAGGTCTCAACAATGGCTCAAAATATTTAGTAAAGGATGTTGTAAACAGATGTGCTGTCATGCAGGCTTTGTTGTTCCATTTATAGATCACAGGCAGAGTATAATCCTTACGGGCCCTAAGATTCTCAGAAGAGTAAATGAGCACTGACTTCAACGTCAAGTCCCCAGCTGCATTAGCCCCTAACCAGAGAGTCAGCCTGTCCTAGGAAGCTTTGGACCTCTTGGCTTCTCCTCTCTAAAGCTGAAAATTTTAGATGGCATCTTCTTCCCAGATAAGGCTGTTGTGTCTACATTGAAAAACTGTTGTTTCGTGTAGCCACCTTCATTAATTACCTGAGCTAGATCGTCTAGATAACTCGCTGCAGCTTCTACATCTGCACTCGCTGCTCACCTTGCACTTTTGCGTTATGGAGATGGCTTCTTTCCTTAAACCTCACCAACCTCTGTTAGCTTCAGACTCTTTTCTGGCAGTTTCTACACTTCTCTCAACTTTCACTGAATTGAAAAGAGATAGGGCCTTGGTCTGAATTAGACTTTGGTGGGGAACATCCGGTCCGTGGGCCATATGAGGCCCACAGAATCATTTGGTCTGGCCCTGAGAAGGCATTAGGGGTGAGATAATTAAAAGTTTGACCAAATAGAGCAGGCTAATTTTTAAGTTGATAATTTTGTATGGCCCTCGAATGATGTTATAAATATCCAAATGGCCTTTGGCAGAAAAAAAGGCTCCCCGCTACTGGTTTAAAGGAATATTGTAGCTGGTTTGATTTTCTATCCAGACCTCTACAACTTTCTCCATGTCAGCAATAAGGATGTTTTCCTTTCTTATCATGTGTGTGTTCACTGGAGTAGCACTTTTCATTTACCTTGGGAACTTTCGCTTTCCATGGACACCTTGGCTAACTCTCAGGCACCAGAGGCCTTGCTTTCAGCCTGTTTCAGCTTTCACCATGCCTTTCCCACAAGCTTCATCATGTCTAGCTTTTGAGCTAAAGTGGGAGACATGTGACTCCTCCTTTCACTTGAACACTTAGAAGGCACTATAGCAGCGGTTCTCAACCTGTGGGTCGCGACCCCTTTGGGGGTCAAATGACCCTTTCACAGGGGTTGCCTAAATACATCCTGCATATCAGATATTTATATTACAATTCATAACAGTAGCAAAATTACAGCTATGAAGTAGCAATGAAAATAATTTTATGGTTGGGGGTCACCACAACATGAGGAACTGTATTAAAGGGTCGCGGCATTAGGAAGATTGAGAACCACTGCACTATAAGGTTATTAATCAGCCGATTATCAATATTATTGTATCTCCGGGAATAGGGAGGCCCGGGCAGAAGGGGAACAGCTGGTCGGTGGAGCAGTCATCACACACACATTTATTAAGTTTGCTATCTTCTATGGTGGTTCACGGCACCCAAAACAATTCCAAAGGTAACCCCAGAGATCACTCTTCACCAGATCACTATAGCAAACATAATAATAATTTAACCATTTGAATTATTGTGAGAATTACCAAAATGTGATATGAAGACACAAAGCGACCAAATGCTGTTGGAGAAGGTACGACGGACTTGCTCAACTCAGGGTCACCACAATCTTCAAATTGTTTTTAAAAAAATGCAATGTCTGTGAAGTGCAATACAGCAAAGCACAAAAAAACCAGGTCTGCCTGTACTTCACTTTCAAATTATGACGAATCTTACTAAGCAAACAAGAGTGGCTCAAAATGTTTAAGAATCACCCAAATTAAGTGTAAGCACTGCAGCATACACTGCATCCCCATTTTTCCAAGTCATTATGGTTGTGTATATCCTACTTTATTGAATATATCTGATAAAAAGCTTAGAACTATATAAAAAAAATTAACCTATTTTCATTCTGTTATTCTCCAAGCAGAGTATCTGGCAGGCACTGTGCCAGGCTATAGGAATGAAGAAAACCCTGCATTTGCCCTTAATGTGCAAGTATTGGTGGAAGCAAAATGCACAGTGAGAGAGGCTATTATAGGGAGGACAGCATAGAAGTGAGGAGAGAGAGCAGCGGCGGGAGGGTAGACAACTCTGCTCAAAGGTTTGCAGAGGTGTTGACACAGAAGAGGAGGAAAAGAGGTGGGGGGTGGGAGGGGAAATAGGGAATGGTAGCAGAGAGAGCTTAGGTCCTGAGTCAAAGTGGGAGCAAACCGTTGGCATTTTCGGAAAATAATAAAAAGTTCAATGTAGATGAGGGAAGATTTAAATAAGAAAAATAAAAGGGTTATGCAAGCGCTTGAATATGAAGACAATTTTGAAATAGAAAGTTTAAATGTTCTCTTGCAATGCAAAGCCATTGACGGGTTTTAAACACAGGAGTGAAGGATCACATAAGCTTCAGAAAGGCCTCTGGCAGCGGCATGGGGGAGGGTGATTAACTCTGCTCAAAGGTTTGCAGAGGTGTTGACACAGAAGAGGAGGAAAAGAGGTGGGGCGTGGGGGGGGATAGGGAATGGTAACAGAGAGAGCTTAGGTCCTGAGTCAAAGTGGGAACAAACCGTTGGCATTTTCGGAAAATAATAAAAAGCTCAATGTAGATGAGGGAAGATTTAAATAAGAAAAATAAAAGGGTTATGCAAGCGCTTGAATATGAAAACTATTTTGAAATAGAAAGTTAAAATGTTCTCTTGCAATGCAAAGCCATTGACGGGTTTTAAACACAGGAGTGAAGGATCACATAAGCTTCAGAAAGGCCTCTGGCAGTGGCATGGGGGAGGGTGATTTAGAGAGAACAAACCTGGCAGTGGGGTGGACAGACCTGTTTAAATACCATTGCAATGATTTAATGAGCAGACGATAAATGTCTATGATGAGAACAGTGGCTTAAGGAAGCAGTGACATTATCCCTGCTTCTCTGCAAAGTCTGTACACTGGGAATCAATCTGGATCAACTTGCTAGTCGGGTAAAACAAGAAGAGCTGCCCTGGCCGGTGTGGCTCAGTTGGCTGGGTGGCATCCCATGCACCTGTAGTCTGTAGGTTCCATTCCTGGTCAGGACACATGCCCAGATTTCAGGCTCTACCCCAGGTAGCGGGGTGAGCAGGAGGCAGCCGATTGATATTTTGTTTTCATCTCTCTCTCTCTCTCTCTCCTTCCTCTTGCTCTAATAATCAATTTAAAAAAAGAGCCAAAGATAAAGATTTCCAGAGGAAGGTAAATGCTTTTCTCAATCCCTTCTCCTGTCTAAGCAAGTGACAACACCAGCATGAATGGAAGGCTAGAATTAAAAATAAATCTGAGATCGCATCTATGCCAATCTTCCCATGTAGAGGAAAAATAGTTAAAATATTAACTGATGCATTTTTTCCTACACGATAACTTTCTTCACTTGACAATATTCCAACATTAAAGTGTGAAGCTGAGACTTATGTTTGTAAAAAACAAAAAGGGGGAGAGATCACAAACAATTCCAGTGAGAACCGCCAATTAAATCCTTAACTTGACTTTCTGACTCGATCTTAAAAATCTGTGATGCAGATGCGGTAACCAACCCACTGTAACCCCGTCTGTAGGGGGGACTTTTAAAATTTCATCCTGATAAATGCCCTGCTCTTTAATGACAACCCAAGAAAATCCATGACTAATGGCCACTCTCGGTTTTGAGATCAAGTCCTGCTTTAGGAAATCAGACTCCCCTTCCGGTAACACAAATGTTTCCCTGAGAACGAACCGAAAGACCCTACTCTCGCCCAGTGACAGCTCTGTACTCTGCCCGTCCCTAACTCCGCGGGGACCTGAAGTACTTCCCTTTCCCCATAAAGCCGTGGTTCTCAACCTTCCTAACGCCGCGACCCTTTAATACAGTTCCTCATGTTGTGGTGACCCCCAATTTCATTGTTACAAATGGAACATAATGAAAGCATAGTGTCCGAAACCAGTTTGGCTCAGTGGATAGAGTGTTGGCCTTCGGACTGAAGGGTCCCAGGTTCGATTCCGGTCAAGGGCATATACCTGGGTTGCGGGCACGTCCCCATCACAAAAACAATATGTAATTATATATGTTTTCCAATGGTCTTAGGCCACCCCTGTGAAAGGGTCGTTCGACCCCCAAAGGGGTTGCAACCCACAGGTTGAGAACCGCTGCCATAAAGGCTCTTATAGAAAGGCAGGCAGGAATATGGGAAAGGGGCAAACAGTCTCCTTTGTCACTTCTTAGGTCCTGCTCTCAGGATCCTCTGAAGGCTCTTACAGAAAGGCAGGCAGGAATATGGGAAAGGGGGAAAAAGTCCCCTTTGTCACTTCTTAGGTCCTGCTCTCAGGATCCTCTTGTGGCTACAGCTGACTGGACAATGCTGTCCCTCTGCGTGGCAGGTGTCACATGCGTGTTCTTCCATGGGGCCCATGTATGGGTTTTCCAGGACCCCATGTGAGAAGCTCACCACTGCACAGATTCCCGACAATGACAAACTGGGCCTTTAGTCCCTCCCTCCCTCCTCGATTTCTGTTTCTGGGAAGGCATCCCACGGTCTCTGCTGGCTTCCCTTTGTCCCCAAAAGACACCCTGTTGGATTTCTACATGATGGCTCAAGTCCAGCTACTTGCCACAGCATCCACTGGGCCATGCTCAGACACCCTGCTGCACCAACAGCGGGAGGGAGGGCAGTCTGCCCTTGGCCGCCCTTCTCCTGGCCCTGCGACCCAGGGGCTTTAACCCCCTGCTGCTTCTGGGCTCGCAGCAGGCACCCATTTCTATGGTTACCAGGCCTCCTGTGTTCTTGTTTCGTTTTTTTGTTTATTTTTTGTGTCACTTTTTTTATTTTAATCTTTCAATTACAGTTTATATTCAATATTGCTTTGCACTTGTTTCAGGGGTACAGCATAGTGGTTACACAATCATATACTTTTCAAAGTGTTCCCCCCAATATTTCTGGTTCCCATCTGGCCCAATACATCGATTTTACAATGTTATTGACTATATAGAATCCCTATGCTGTAAATTTACATCCTCAGGTTAGGCCACTGGCATTAAGTGCTGGGAAGAACCACCTCGTAGAATAACCTATACTTTGAGAGAATGTGCAGCTCAGCCCCTATCTTGCTGACCGCCTAGAAGTCTCTATCTAGCTGATTCTCTTGGAGAACCCCTCCCCTCTCCCTGGGCAAGCAAAAGGGAAAAGCTTCAAGTATGATTGACACGGAGAATGTCTTGTCCTCTAACTAATTCCCTAAGCATTTAGTCTCTTATTTGCAGACTGTCTGGGAAGGGAGGATGGGGGATCACCAGGCAGCTCTGGCACTGTCTTTCCAAGCTCGGAAGAGCTGACTGGCAGCAACTTAGGTCTCTGTTTAGGATGTCACAGTACGTACTGTTCCACGTGTGGGGCTTCAGCCAAAATTCCAAGACAACAGGCAAAGCCTCATGCACTATCCCAATTTAAGAACTTGGAAAATTTAAGAGGACTGTTGTCATTGCCGCCATTGTTGTTGATGTTAGCTGTTCCAGAACTTACTATGTGTTCACAATACAGAGTTTTTCTATCAAATAGGGAGAAATAGGGCAGAAAATGCAACCTAGGAGCTGTGTACCATGAAAAGATAAGAACGAGTTCTGCAGTGGACACGAGTGATGGGGACAGCGTAGGGATAAGATGTCAGCGTGTCTCTCTGTGTGAGGATTAGGTATGGGGAGTACTTCATGCTCCACTTTGGGGCCAAATTCTTGGGGTTTGTGAATTCCTGTGCTTTTCAAGGAGCCAGAGGGTGGAGCAGCAACAGCTACAAAGAGACCCAGAGAAAGCACCTGGGGCCTCCCGCAGCCCCGAGAAGATTCAGTGTGTTACAACCGGAGGCCATGGGGAGCTGGCGAGCACGTGCTACAGACCAGCCTAGACAGGGTTGTGACCAAGACCCGGCCAGATGAGACACAGCTCAGTGGTGGCCCACAATGCACTGGGACTCAATGCCCCACCTCCCTCCACACCCCGCCCTCGCTCAAGCCTAGAGCTGAGTAGACTCTACACCAGTGATGGCGAACCTATGACACGCGTGTCGGAGGTGACACGCGAACTCATTTTTTTGGTTGATTTTTCTTTGTTAAATGGCATTTAAATACATAAAGTAAATATCAAAAATATAAGTCTTTGTTTTACTATGGTTGCAAATATCAAAAAATTTCTATATGTGACACGGCACCAGAGTTAAGTTAGGGTTTTTCAAAATGCTGACACGCCGAGCTCAAAAGGTTCGCCATCACTGGTCTACACCCTGCTGCTGCCCCAGAGGACGAGAAGGGGAGGGAGGGACTCCACGGTGGACTTGATGTGGTGGTTACCTCAATGAGACTGGGTTTTAAACTAAAAGACTTTACTCTGCACATTTTGGTTTTCTGCATCAGAAGAAAATAGGTGGGTCTTGAGCGAGGCTGAATTCGATATTAAGAAACATAAAGGTGTCCTGTGGCCACTCCAGACTGTATAACTAGGCGGTCCCACTTCACACTCGGTTTTAAAGAAAGGTGCATTGAAAACTGGGTCGGAGTTTACCTTAGAGCCTAAACCATCCATCCTCATCGAAGCCAGGTTGCTATCCTGATTCTAGTCATTGCCTTACATCAAAAGAAGTATTTCCATAAATTGACTTGGAGCATTTATAAAAGGAAGCATTTTGCCAACACAATAATTTGATGGGATGAATCCTGCCCTGCCATAGCCAAGCCTGCAAACAAAGCCAAAACCCAGATCTCTAAATAATGGTTTCCTTTCCTTAATCCCCACCTATATGGACACACATCCGAGGGCATCAAATTGCCATCAGGATTCTTGGAAGGGTTATAAGCCTCGTTTACAACAATCGAGATCCACTTCTCAGGTGAGGAGGCAGCAGCACTGATATTCAGTGAGCAAGGAGGGTCTAGAGCAGCGGTTCTCAACCTGTGGGTCGCGACCCCTTTGGCGGTAGAATGACCCTTTCACAGGGGTCGCCTAAGAACATCCTGCATATCAGATATTTACATTACGATTCATAACAGTAGCAACATTACAGTTATGAAGTAGCAACGAAAATAATTTTATGGTTGTGTCACAACATGAGGAACTGTATTTAAATGGCCAGAAGGTTGAGAACCACTGGTCTAGAGTCAGCCTACCAGGGTCAAATGGAATCTTGAATCCAGATAGGTCACCTTGAGCAAATGCTGAGAAGTTGTGTGCCTCGGTGTCTTGATTACAGTATTTCTCTCACAGTTGTCAGAAGTCTTAAGCCAACCTATCAGCATCCAGGATAATGTGCAAAGGAGTGAGTTCTCCATCAGTTTGGATATTCAACTGTAGGTGGGCCACACGCGGCGGGGATGTTGCATTGGACTGCGTCACTGCCGAGATCTTTTCGAACTCTGAGTTCTTTTGAAAAGGAAGGCTCGGTGCCAAAGAACAGAGTCTCCTTTGAGATAAACACCACCGGTGGCTCTCATTTGGAAAAGGAGGCCAAAGACATGACTCTGTTTAAAGCTGAGATAGAAAGAGGCCAAGTCACCCCTGTTGCTGAGTCGGCAGCTGGGGAGTCATGGCGAGTGCACTGGATTTCAGGCAGGAGGCCTGGGCGGGAGTCCCAGCACTGTTCTCGGCTGTGCGGCTCTGGGCAGGCAAGTAATGGATACGCTCTGAAGTTTCTTCACTTGGAAATTGGTTGTACTTTTTTTTTCCTTCTTCTCAAAAGGTACTCATGAGGATTCAATGAGCCAACATGAAATTGCTTTGAAAATGGTAAATCACGGGATGAATATAGGTCTTATCATTTTCAGAGCTCAGATTATACTATACATCATTAGCTCTGAAAATAACATATGTAACCTCAGACCCTGGCTGAGACGAAACTATTATTTTAAACATCATGATGGGTATAGAAGTTGGGAGAATGGCTATTTCAAAATCTCTTGCTTATTTTCTCTATTACTCTAGAGTAGAGATTCCAATTTACCTTGAAGGCAGGTAGCGGTTTTGTTCTGAAAATTAAAAATAATAATCAAAACAGAAACAATGGTACTGGGCCATCTATGTTTATGCAAATATGCCAGCTCTCACTTATTGTTTTAGGAAAAGGGAGGTCATCCTCCACTTGAAGGCTAATGTCTTACACTCAGTACTTGACTCTCTCCCCCCTAAATAAAAATACCTTTTATCGAAGATTTTCTATACAAATTTTCATTCAAATATTTATGGACAGTAACACTATTATGTTAAGTGTTGAGCGAAGAGTGTTGATGAGTCAGACACACTCATTCAGGTGTTAGAGGAAAGATAAAATAGACAAGAATTACACAAATGACTTATAAGCATCGGTGAGAAAGTAAACAGTGCTCTGAGGATCTAGCAGAGGGTCCTCACGTGGAGTTGGGAGGTTTTCCAGAGAAAGGAATGTGGGAGTCGAGCCTTGAAAGATGAACAGGAATTATCTAGGTGGGAGATGCCAGGTGAGGGCAGAATGTTCCAGCAAATGTTTCTTTAGAGTCTCTTTGAAGATAAATGTTTGCTCCTCTGGGTGAATTCTGACTGCTGTGTCTATAAATAATTGTTTATTCTTAGCAAGTTTTGTGTGCTCTTCTCTGAATAAATGTTCTCAGGAGAAGCAAGCTGAGATGAGAAGGACTCTGGAAGGACAAGGATGTGCCACCGTATTTTATGTCTCATCCTAGAGGAGTTGCTATGAAAAGAATAAGACTGTCCCAACCAATGTGGCTCAGTGGTTGAACCAGGAGGTCACCGTTCGATTCCCGTTCCTGGCACATCCCCGGTTGTGGGCTCAATCCCCAGTAGGGGGAGTGCAGGAGGCAGCTGATCCATGATTCTCTCTCATCGTTGATGTTTCTCTCTCTCTCCCTCTCCCTTGGGCTCACTATTGACTGGATATGAGATCCTTCATACAGGGTCTTATGGAATGTAGTCTTGTGGGTTTGATAATCTTTATAGCTTCACTCAGAGCCTAAGGGCAAGATCCCTGTCTGATTGAGCTGGACTGTTACCCTATTTAAGTGGATAATCCCCCTGTCATCCTGGGACAGGACATGGAGACTCACTTTCTGCATATTTCATTAAGGGTCGTCTGGGCTTGATTTTGAACCTAAAAGTAACCCATGAGCAGACCTGGCTGTTAGGAAGTGTTCTCTGCCATGCGCCTCCCTTCTTTTTCCCCCTCCCCTCGCTTTCATTTTTACTGAAATTCAAAGCCTGGGCTCAGCTACGCTCTGCTGAATCAATGGCGCCTTCTCCTTCATGCTTGGCAAGGTGTGGCTGAGGGGAGAGTCCCCTACGGGGGCCTAAAGCAGGGGCGGTGGGAGCATCATCTACATGAGTCCGTGTGCCATGCAACACAATGATCACACGGTAGTCAAAACTGCGAGGACAACATTGACGCTTCCCCTAGCTGTGCTTCTGTAAAACAGCCTGCCACCCATTCTTGTGTGTCTGGGAAACAGCTTCCTGCGAAGAAACATGCTTCCCCAAATGACTTAAGTAGGAGTCACAGATGCTCTTTTGTTGACGTACCTCAGGGCCAGACACAGAACCTCCCGTTTCCCATTCTTTGTCTCAGAAATTACTAGCTGTGATGTCCCCCAATCAACCAAACAAAATGCTTGCTAACCCATCTTTGGTTAAGTTTCTTTCCTCCCCCCAAGCCCCTGAGTTCTGTGAGCCAGGATACAGCCTCTTCTTAATACCCACCCTTTCCCCCAAGAAAAGGCTGACCTCAGAGTCAGACATTCATCCCTTCCACACACCTGGTTATTTCTAGCCTGTGTGCTTCCCAGATAAGAAGAAAACTGGTTTTGCCTAAACCTTGATCATCAACCTTGCAGATCAAATGGTCAGAGAGTTCTATTTGTCGTAATAGTTGAACTCACTGATCACATGATGAGAGAAATAAGCCTTGAAATAATATTTTCAAATAAAGTCTCTCTTGACTAAGTTTGGATTTGTTTTCCATTTGACGGTGATGAGAGACAATAAGTCTCGAGCAGAAGAACATGAGGGACCCCTGTCTGAACACACATGAATTATCTTCCTGGGAAACCCCCAGGACGGATTTTTAAAAATGGGATAAAGAAGGGCAATTAGGTCACAAGTTCTCATGCTATCGTTTTGGCCTTAAATATGAAATGTACACTTATTTTGCAGACAGCTTTAGGGAACAGGGCACTTGGTTTATACATAGAAGAATATTTGATGGGAAAAACACCACGGGTTATAGAATCCAGCCAGCTGAGAGCAAGCTATTCTTTCTCAGATATTGGAAATTGCTCTCGCATTAAAATCTAGCCTATTATGAAGAATAAGCAGTTCAGAAAGAAAAATCCTTATCTCCACAGGCAAAGATTCTGCCTTTGGCAGAACACAGCCAGGAATAACTCCTCTTTCCCCACCTGCCAGGAAATGCAGTCCCTCCTTTTCTCAAAGGTGACCCCCATACCTCTGCGCAACTTTAAAACTCAGTACATTCTATCACCACCGCATCCTATGTTCTGACCTTCTCTGGACATTGAGGTTCTGTCAATCTTCAAGAAAAGCAGGATTATTAATGCTTCAACTTTGTATTGACTTATCAGTTCAATGAAATAGAAGGACTGGGGGTCGGGTAGTGGGGAGGCCAATCTTGACATCAGAAAATCCAGGTTCCATTAACATTTGCTCTGTGATCTTAAGGGCAAGTCACTGAGTTAAGTATGCTCATCTCTAAAGTGGAAATAACAATAGGTATTGAAGAGCATTATTATCAGGATGGATCAGTGGTCAGCACACTGAGGCTTGCGAGCCACATGCGGCTCTTTGGCCCCTTGAGTGTGGCCACGAAGTTTCAATCGCACTGTACGTCCGCGCCTGCACGTGGTATTTTGTGGAAGAGCCACACTCAAGGGGCCGCGTTTGCCAACCACTGGGATGGATAGTCACTACATACACTATGTATGAAAAGGTGCTTGGGCCTAGCCAGCGTGGCTCTGTGGTTGAGTATTGACCTATGAATCAGGAGCTCACAGTGCAATTCGTGGTCAGGACACATGCCTGGGTTCAATCCCCCGTGTGGGGTGTGCAGGAGGCAGCCAAAAAGTAATTCTCTCATCATTGATGTTTCTATCTCTCTGCCCCTCACACACATATATATATTTATTTATTTATTTAAAAAGTGCTTGGTACTTTTCATCCAGGGCTTCCATTTTCTCTTTATCAAGTCCAACACAATAATTGGTATCCATCACTCAAAGTTGATTATTTAACCAACCTTACAGTTATTGTGCTTAGAGTATATTGAAATAGCCTCCTAATTTTCCCTCTTTTTGCCTTTTTTTCATATTCACTGTGGTAGTTACATTGGTATGTCTGAAACTAAATGGGTTTGTGTTACTCTTCTTCCTACCATCCTCCAACAGCTCCCATTGGTTCCAGGCCAACGTCCAAGCTCTTCGGCCGTGAGAGACTCTCCAGGATCTGGCTCTTCCCAGCCATATGCTCATACGGAAACTACCAACTCATCAGAGGTTGATATGAAGTAGGTGAGTACTCTTTCGTTGTTTTTTTTGAATGAAAGAATAAGGGACAGACAAGTAAATGTATGAGGCCATTGGTGCAAGGCCAGTTGAATATTCTACATGGGTTCTGGGTCACTTTCATTTTGTGGGAAAGTGTTTAGAGAACAAGGAACCCCTCTGACTAGATGTGCACTCACTACAGTCAGCATCCACACAGCTGGGAACAAAAGACGATTCTGCTGGTAGATATTTTCCCCCAGATGTTGGCTCCGGAGAAGCTTTAATAATAGAAAAACCTCAAAGGCTAAGTCTGTTGCTTAAGTTTCCCTTTGTTCATATCAACATCTGAACAGAGATAAATATGCCTTTTCCCCATGTAAGCGAAACTCCCAGGGAGCAAATGTCCACCTCCATTGATTTCAAACCGTAGCTATGGAGAAATTATACAGTAGTTCATTAAACATAGTCTCCATCCTTCCCTCACTCCCAATATATCTCACAGACAGTAAGATTTAGCTTCTATAACACCAATCTCCTTCCCTCCTCCCTCATCCTGCCTTAATAATCTCCTTCCCAGTTAGTATGTTATCATTTTAATAGGAGCAAGCTAGTAATTAACCAGAGGCTTACATTTGTAGCATACATTAGGAATGAACAATGGCGAAATGTTAGGAACCATGGTAAACAACTATAAAACATCATTAGACAGAGAATGGTCAGAAAGGGGAATGGTGCCTCCTCTTTGATCTTCATTCATTATTCTTAGAACATTTAGCTATTTATGTGCAGCGAGTGTCCTCTGGAAAGGGTAGGAGCAGCCTGCTTTGCTTCACAGCACGGACGGTGTTAACTGTGGCAGCCCCGTACAACTGATTCTTCCCCTCAGTGTGGCCCAGGCAGTAAAAACCCTATGTTCTTGGCTACTCAGATTCCCTCTGAATGTTGGCCTCTGTTTCGAACCCATCTTTCTGAAAGTACCCAGAGCTGCTATGTTTATGTATAACAGGGAGTGAGAGATGTAATAAAGCCAAGATCGATTGCCCGGTAATAGCCATGATTCCATAGACATTAAAGGGTATTTGTAATTTAGGTCTCATAATGTGGCCTAACTCCCTATCTTGTGTAGTTATTGATTTTTCAATACTAGGACAGCCCCAGCAAGCCTTTCAGGGCTATGTCTTCCCTGCTCCATGCAGCCAAGAACAAAAACCCGTCTCTCATAGGAGGCCAGCCTAGAGAAGGGTCTTCTACTCTGACAGTTACAAGGACTCTCTGGTTTTTTAACTTGCTAATGTGGTTCCTGCTTACTCTTCACACCCCGCCCCCCTCCCCGCCCCAATGTTTTCAGTTAAAGAAACAGTATTAGGAAGAGGTGTTTTACTATCTGGCGGTTGCCAGTGAAGACGCGCTGAAAAGCAACAGCCGCCACCACTGAGTGACAATGATGCTCTAACAGTGATGTCCTGAAATGACCCATTACCTGTAACGACATTCCCAAGGCCCTGTCGCACTGACCCAGCA